GGAGGGTGCCTTAGCGCCCCTTCGCATCCGCATACTCAATTTTCTTGACGACTGGCTGATTTTTGCCCACTCTTGGAGCAATTGATTATGCACAGAGACAAAGTGCTCCGGCACTTCCACCTGTTGGGGTTTCAGGTCAACCGAGAAAAAAGCAAACTCGCCCCCGTGCAGAGGATCTCTTCTCTCGGGCTGGAGCTGGACTCGGTCACCATGGCAGTGCGCCTCTCCGGAGAGAGCGCTCAGCTGATGCTGTACTGTCTGAGAGAGCTCGACAGTAAAATAGTGGTCCCACTGAAACTATTTCAGAGGCTCCTGGGGCATATGGCATCCGCTTCACGCCGCTCGGATAACTCTATATGAGACCACTTCAGCACTGGCTGCACGATCGAGACCCATGGCACGCGCGCGCACACCGAGTCTCTGTTACTGCGCTGTGTCGCCGCGCCCTCAGCCTTGAGCGACCCCTTGTTCCTACAGGCCTGAGTGCCTCTAGGATAGGCGTCCAGTCTTGTTGTCGTTTCAACAGATGCTTCCAACACGGGCTGTGGGACTTTGTGCTGCGGGCAAGCAGCTGCGGACCTGTGGAAAGGGACTCAGTTGAATTGGCATATTGCCTGGAGCTGTTGGCAGTGTTACTCGCTCTTCCCATTTTTTTGCGGTGCTAGAGCGGCAACACGTGCTGGTCAGGATGGACAGTACGGTGGCGGCGGCGTATATCAACCGTATGGGGGGTATGCGCTCTCGCCGCATGTCTCAGCTCCTCTGGAGTCATCCGCGGCTGATATTGCTGCACGCCATTCATATTCAGGCAAGCTCAACCGTGCAGCCGATGCGCTCTCACGGCAGCCTTACATCCTGGAGAATGGAGACTCCACCCCGAGTCTGTTCAGCTGATATGGGCATGATTCGGGGAAGCCAAGATCAATCTGTTGCTTCCCCCGAGATCGCTCATTGCCAGCTGTTCTTTTCCCTAACCGAGTGCTCTCGGCATGGATGCACTGGCTTACAGCTGGCCTCGGGGCATGCGCAAATACACGTTTCGCCCAGTGAGCCTGCTCGCGCAGTTACTGTGCAAGGTCAGGGAGGACGAGGAACAGGTTGCTGGTTGCGCCCCTCTGGCTCAACCGAACCTGGATGTCAGAGCTCTCCCTCCTCGCGATAGCCCTCCCCTGGCAGTTCCATTCGAGAGAGCATCTACTCTCTCAGGGACAGGGCACCATCTGGCACCCTTGCCGATCTTTGGAGGTCCTTAGACGCGAGGAAGACTTAAGTAACCTCCGATTGCGGTGAGTAATACTGTCACTTGGGCTAGAGCCCCCTCCCCGAGCGTGCCTATGCCCTGAAGTGGAGTCTATTCACTGAATGGTGTGTCTCTCGCTGAGAAGACCCCCATAATTTGCCAGATCAGACGCGGTGGCTGGCAGCACTGTGGGAACGCATAACCTCATCATCCGGTTCCTCAGGGGAGCTAGGCGAATTAATCCACCCCGCCCCCTCTCATGCCCTCTTAGGATCTCGCCCTCGTTACACGAGCCGCGTCAGATCCCTTCGATCCTCGACTCAGTTTCTTTCTGTCCCTGAAGACAGCTCTGCTGGTCGCATTGATATCGATTAGAGGGTCGGGGACCCGGAGGCATTTTTTCGGTCAGTGACTCGTGCCTGTAATTGGGCTGGCTTTCTCTCACCTCCTGAGACCCCGCCCGCGATATGTGCCCAAGGTTCCTACCACTCCGTTTTAATACCAGGTAGTGAGCCTGCAAGCGCTGCCCCCGGAGGAGGCAGTCCCAGCCCTTTCTTTATTGTCCAGTTTGCGCCTTGCGTATTATTCGGACCGCACTCAGAGTTTAGCAGCTCTTCGTCTGTTGTGACGGTGGCAGCAGGGAAGTGCCGTATCGAAATTAAGTTTTCCCACAGGATTGGGAATAGCATTCTCTCGCTTATCAGAGCCGAGGTGAGCCGCATCCCCCGAGAGTGCGTGCGCACTCCACTCAGAGCATCGCATCCTCTTGGACGCGTACACGCGGCGCCTCTCCAACAGACATCTGTAGAGCTGCGGGCTGGGCGACACCCAACACATTTGCAAGGTTTTACAATCTGCGAGTGGAGCCGGTTTCCTCAAGGGTATTAGGTAACCCTTTGATGATTGAGGAAACAACTCGGTAGGGTGTTGAAACACGCTTGCTGCGTAATTCTCCCTAACACAGAGATACATGCGCCTTTTTATCTGTCAGTAAAGTTACCCGTCAGGTGAGCCCTGCAGATTCCTCCGTGGCCCCCAGCACTGACTCAGCGGAGGAGTCACTTGCTGGCCCACTACGTTGTTGGTCTGCCCGCTGGTCAGCCCGCGTTTTGGGTATAGGTGCCTGCTATGCGTGATCCCCACTAGACGATCCCATATGCTTATTCCTCCATGGTTAATTCCCCCCTCTGGGTGGACTCATGTCTTCCCTCTCCGCTAACCACTTTTTACTATGCATACTCCCCCTTCTTAGGGCTAGTCCATATGTAAATTCTGCCATCTATTCCCCCCTTGGGTAGCGGATGGCCTCCGCAGCGTCCACCCTATCAGGATTGCACGCTTCCCAACGTACTGTTGTATTTCCCAGAATTATCTAGACGCTCGCGACTTCCCAAAAAATATATCCAAATCCGTAAAACTTCGGTTGAAGTGGGATAAGTTAGGGCCAGGGACACGTTGGAGGACCGCGCCCCCCATGATGGGGGTGCGTCACGCTTGTTTGACTATCCCCTTATCGGGGGCATTGGTAAGGTGCAGTCATTATGGCGTTTTCCATATTTATCCCATACGTGGATTTTCCAAGATCAAATCCAATTTATAGCACTGAAGTTCCCCAACCGAAAGGGAACGTTTGAGGTTACAGAAGTAACCCTTCGTTCCCCAAGAAGGGGAACAGAAGTGCTATACTCCGTCCCCATAATGACTGTCCCTTAGCTGTTAGAAAGTCTCTTCAGCTTAAAAGGATGGCGTTTACTCGCTCCAGGTGTGCTTATATGCTGGGATAATTGCCAATGAAGCACACCTGCGCAAGCTTACGCTTCAAATTCATTGCTTTCATTGGCCTGTTCAATACTCTTTCAGACAAGCGGCTTCTGAACCGAATCCTCCCATACGTGGATTTTCCAAGATCAAGTCCACTTTATAGCACTTCCGTTCCCCTCCTCGGGGAACGAAGGGTTACTTCTGTAACCTCAAACGTTCACTCCTGTAAGACTTGACATATAAAAAACAGTCAGAAAATTTGAATTTTCTGGAACTTGAATGTTTATTAAACAAAAAAAAAATTGCCATATACATTTTTTCATGATATTTATTTTGTATCAAATTTGACACATTGGGTATTTGTGCAACTTTTTGTTCAAAACAATAATAATTTTAATTACAAAAAAATTATTTTGCTTTTAACATTTTGACAAAAGAGATCATTTCAGACAGTTTATCTCATTATTTGTTGTTACATTAAGCATTTTACTTTTTGTTATTTCACTTTGTGGTAGGCGTACTAGTAGTTTCATCTCTTGTTCAGGCAAAGATGCACTTTACATTTACACAGTACACAGAACTGAGAAGTCATTGCTGGTGCAGTTTTTTTTTTAATCTCTATCAGGTTTCTCTATGTTGGAAAATGATAAGGATCATGCCTTCTAACATTAAAAGGCACACCACAGCTTGACCTTTTATGGGGTGCATGTTCATGTACATGCCTAGGAATTTCTCAATCTCTTTGGCATCAGTGTTTATAGACTTGCCATCTTTGAATATACTGTACAGGTTTATTTGTTCTCCAGTGTCCTGTAGCATTTCGTCAGTGGCAAACTATTACAATACTGAGTCCAGAGTCCATAATAATAGATGGCAAATAAAGTGCTATAGAGCAGATAGGTGTTGAGGAGGGATGGAGTCCTCAGACCATGCATAATAAGGGGCTTTCAGACAGCTGTGATGAGAAAGATTATCAGGAAAAAAGTTTAGTCCAAAAAAAAAGATGAGGTCCCAACAATACAAACACAGGACACAGTCAGAAAGCAGTCGGTATGAGTCCTCTGTGCCTTCCTCAGCAGATGCAATGAACTCAACAAATTTACCATGATATTGTATTTTTTCCATCTCTATTCTTGACTGTGTAATGTGTTTGTGTAGTTGGGACCTTTACTTCTGTGCTTGTCTAGACAACACTTTCTTCTTGATAATCTTCCTCATCACTGCTGTCTGAATGACCATCATCATGCATCGTCCGAGGAGTCCCCCTAACTTCTCTCTGTCACTTTAATTGCCATAGACTATTATGCTGATGACATTTTCAAGACACTTTAATTTTTCTACCATCTGTAATCTTCCTCTATTTTTTCTAAAAATACACAAAATTGATCATATAGTTTATTAATTATAAATTATTGTAAAAATGCCCACAATGTATGTCACTTATTATATTAAATTTAATCATCCAAAAACATTGTATTTGCATTGCAGTAGGCATTATATTGATTACATTACAAAAACGTGACATGACTGTTCAGAAATAAAGCTGCTTTTATACCTGTTGTATTAAATTTGATACGTTTTTAACACAATTTGTTTGCAACAAAATAAATTAATTATTAAGTAATTATGCTTTGTTTCAATCAAGAAAGCCTTTATTTAATAAAATTAGAAACAATATACATTTTATTTTTACTATAACAACTTGAAATTAGCAAATAGTTTTTAGCTTAAAAGCATCTAATTCAATGAAAGTAGCCATTTTGAAAAGATAAAAAATCCCTTCCATGGCCTGCGGTGTCATGAAAATCCAGAAGGGGAGAGAATACAAGTATCAAATCATATACAACAGGTTTCTAAACAAAGAATCAAAGATCAGGTTGGTATTATATAGGTCTTAGAAACTCGTGTATCAAATGTGATACCTGCGGCTTTATAAGGCTAAACACTCATAAGCTATTTTGTAATTAATTGCAACTGTAGAACTTCCATATACTTGAAACAACCTCATGTTACCTTTAGGTTGGCGATGGCATCCTGAAAAACCTTGATGCAACCGAAGAGATGATGCAAATAGCAGATCCTGGAAAGTATTATAATGTTTCCAGTTATAGGGCATTAAACGATATTGTGTCCTCGCTGGAAAGAGGGATAATTGGAACTAAAGGTACAGAATTTACACATTACACTGAATGTCACAGAGCCCTTTGTCACAGAAAAAGAAGAATACGTAGTGGCTCTTTGTCAAGGTGACCAAGACTAGAGGGCACTCTACACATTACATCTGCCACTGAACAGAACTACATATCCCATCATGCCATGTAGTCACACACTGATTACACACTTGATTACACACACACACACACACACACACACATACACACACACAGTGCTGAGTTATGGTATACTTCAGCTTTACAAAACTTGCCTTGCCGTTTTTGACCATTTCTTTGTTTAATGTTTATTCTTGTTTTGCTACCTGCCTCAACCACTATGCATGTTACTACATTAGCCGCATTTCCACTGTTGGGCTAGTGTGAGCCAGGGCTTTTATCGGGCCGGGGCGGGCCAATCGCTCGGACGGTTGAGTAGTGAGGCCGAAATCATGTCGCGTTTCCACTGTCAGGCTAGTAGCATCACGTCATGCAAACCCCGCCCCCAGAACATCCCCCGAATCAAAACGTCACACAACCCGCCCTCTTCAGCAGGAATCAGACAGATAAAGCAGACCATCGAATCATCAGGAAACCATTAAAATTAAGACAACTGAAACAAACAAATTACATGTTACTGTACAGCATTACATTATATGTCTATACGCACAGGTCTGTGTATTTCCATTCATTATAGTTGTTTACTCACTGAACGACTGTTGGTATCGTGCATCAAGTAGTCTCGACACTAACGGAGGGACCCAGCACAGTGAGCGCACCATCCATAATATAAAGCCACAGAAATTCTCCGGTGATAACTCGGTATGAAGTGTATTTTATAACATCCTTGTTTTGATAGACGTTGTGTTAAGTGATTCAGCAGATAAGAGCAATCTGAAAAAAAAAAAGATTTTAGATATTTTCTAAAAACAATAAACACCAGCGAAGGTTTAAAATATTATTTATAAAGTATTTGGATACGATGATATTAATCCAATCGTGCAAACAGAGCCTTTTTGGGGAGTGTAAAAGCATAATCTAGCCTACCTTTTTTTCTGTCACTCAGTCCTGCGCAGTGCCGCTTTAAACGCATCTGGGAAAAGTCCGAACACAAAATGTGTTCTATATCCTCAAACAAGTGTTTATGTTTTTATATGATGTGGTCAAATTTATAAATGAAACTTTAAATGAAGAGCTTTAGTGAATAGCTGCTGAGCGCAACAAATATGGCTAAATTTTATTAGGCTAGGTCTTTTTAAAATTAAAGTTATATATGGCTTAAAACGGTTTAATTTATGTATTGTATTTACCTACATTGTTATAGCTAGCTTTTGTTTGTTTTATATTGGTGGATTTATTTAATGTAATTTTTTAATGTCCGATATTTGTAATTCTTTAAACTAATTCAATATAGGCTAGCTTAGGCTATTTTATCGAGATATGACACTATTGTTTTAAGCCACTAAAAGTGGACACTTTTGTAAAAGTTTAATGTTGTATTCATATTGTTTATTATCTCCAAAATAAAGTTAAAAAGAAAAAAGCTGGTCAAGGCATCAACAGAGCTGTCAAGCATCCTAAATTGTCTAAAGCTGACCAGCTATATGTTTTCTTTCCCTTATTAATTTATTTGTTTGCCGCATGTAGTCGTGTGCGATAGGAATACTAGTGTAATGATGGCACGCCATCTTTAACAGACTCGGGCAAACTCCGCCTGTCTTTTCACTCCGCCCCGAAGCCCCAGCTGGCCCTCTTTGGCCCAAGGTATTCGGCGGGCCGAAATAGGCTGGCCGCTGGCCCCGAGAAAGCCCCGTTTTGGCCCGATCAGGCCCCGGAAGTGACAGTGGAAACGCGACTGGCTCTGGCTTGCTCGCTTTAGACGTGATAGTGAAAACGCGGCTATTTACTCATTTGGATTATCTGCATATTACTGTTTGTTCTTGTATTGAACCTTGCCTGCCTGATAATGTGCATTAATAATTTATGGAGAGGAAAGAACATAAAATGTGTCAGAATGAGCCAGGATGACTAATTTGCATTTCTGTCATATATATATTTATATATTTGAGCAGTATCACACTTGTAGCGGTGCGATGTGGCTGTAAATCAGCATTGGCAGGAGGTGTGCGATGGCTCAAGGCTGCAGGCCGAGTACCTTAGTGTCCCCCATTGACAATATACTGCTACATAGCATTGCTGCGACTGTGATATAACATTTACACAACAGTATTTGACGGTGTAATCATGTGTACAAAAAAGAAAATCAAACACAAGAGTCTCAAAATTCTTTTATACGAGGAACTTTCTCAGTATTTCTCTGTTGAAAGCAGGATATCACAATATTTATCCCTGAAAAAAAACAAATCAAACACTAACAGATTACTGTTGTGTTTGCGAAAAGGAACACGAGGGCATTTCTTCTTTCTTTTTTTTTTTACTGAGCTAAAGAAAACGGAAGACTCATTAGAAACAAACAGTAGGCCAACCAAAAAGTAACTCAAGGTTATACAAAGAGTGGCCAATGCAAAATACATACAGATTCCTGATATGCAAGTCCCATCTCACGCTCAATACACTACAATTAACAAGTTTTAAATGCAGCACTACAACATACAAAAGAGAAAGATCGACATAGAGTTTCACTTACCTGTTTAATAATGATTTGATCAGCTGTAGTTAGAAATTATGTAGTTTTTTCTTCTAAGGGCTTATTATGCTGTCTCTATCATAATCTTGTGGATGAACAATGTCAACCGTCTTTGCTCCACTCAATGACACGCGAATGGCCTGGCGCCAACGGAGTGTCTCTCAGAAATTAAAAATATCAAAAATAGGCACTATCCTTAGAAATAAACTGCATAATTGCAACCTAAACCACTACATTCTCCACTAAAAAAACCCTGAAAGGTACATTATGTTGTGTAACAGCAGCAATATTTGTTAAACTGTAGAGTGTCCTTTGCTTGTTGCGGAACAGTATGTGGGCAAAGATATATATACTGTATATTATTAGTTTCAGTACTAAAGTTTCAAAACATCTTTCTTAGATCCTGGGACAGAGATTGCTTTCGTTCTGGATGGCTCTGGCAGCATTCAAGATGATGACTTTCAGAAAGCGAAAGACTTTATCTACAATGTCATGTCCAATGTTTGGAAAACATGTTTCGATGCAAGTATAAAGAAAAAAAATCATGGCACAAAATACAATTCAATTGATATTAACTTTACATTAACCCCTCTTCTCTCTGCAGTGTAATTTTGCAATAGTGCAATACGGTAGTTTGATCAGAACTGAACTCTTGTTACTAGACAATGAGGATCGCGCGGGATCCTTGCTAAAGGTCAAACAAATAAAGCAAATTTACAATCTCACAAAGACGGCCTCTGCCATCAATCACGTCCTGTGAGTCTACAAACAATTTTTACAGCATTTGGAGATGACTTAATGGTGTGATTTTACAATGTTGTGGTTGATTACAGCACAGATATCTTCATCCCTGAGAAGGGATCAAAAAATAACACTGCAAAAATAATAATCGTCTTGTCTGATGGAGAGATTCTGGAAGACCCTATGACTCTTGATGAAGTTTTGAACAAGCCCCAAATGAAAGGTGTCACTCGCTACTCCATAGGGGTAAGTGTCCCATATACTGCCAAGTTAAGAGTAATTTAAGTTAATCCAGCCTGAAAACATCAAGAGAAAAACATAACTGTTTTATGTATTGTCGAAAAATAGGAAAATTTATACAAATTTATACAATTTCAGTAAGATAAAAATGTAAAATTTTTAAAAGAAGGCCTGTCCCTAAACTCCACACCCAAACCAAACTGTCATTGGGGATGAGCAGTCTGACTAAAATGTAGGAAAGAGATTGCACAAATTTAAATTCTAGCCACTACATCAGTAGTTACGAATTGTATTGAGATTGTATTGGATAATACTAATTTTACATTCAATGTTGGAGCAACAACTGCAAAAAGGTCATCTGTAATCATAGATAACTCTGGTTCAATTCAAGTCCTGCTTAAACACTTTTAAGCTATTTTGTAGTTAATTGCAATTGTAATTAAAAATGTATCATAAATTCCATACACTTACATCCTCATGTTACCTTTAGGTTGGCGATGGCATCCTGAAAAAACCTAATGCAGTCAAAGAGATGATGCAAATAGCAGATCCTGGAAAGTATTATAGTGTTTCCAGTTATGGCGCATTAAATGATATTCTGTCCTCACTGGAAAGAGAGATAATTGGAACTGAAGGTATGAAATGTACACATTACACTGAATAGTACCCTTTGTATCACAGAAAAAGAATACATTGTGGCTCTTTGTCATGTTGACCAAGTAGAGTTCTCTCCAGATACACTAGAGGACACTCTACACATCACATCTGCCACTGAACAGAACTACATATCCCATCATGCCCTGCAGTCACACACTAGTTTCCATTCAGCTCTTGTTATACTTCGATGTGCTTGACCACCTGCCTCGACCCCTATGTTTACCCATTTGGGTTATCTGTATATTACTGTTTGGTCTTGTATTGAACCTTGCCTGCCTGACACTTGATTAAAACTGCATTTGGATCCTACCCTTGTTGTCACCATCCCTTTACTACAGGAGACTCTGTCACAACAACGGTCCTGCAGATCAACTAGTGCATCTAAGCCAAGGGCCATACACCCTCGAGGACCATATGTGTAAGTTTTTGAACATTGCCAACTACTCAGACCTCCCAGACTGCATTCTTATTGTATCTTTTTACAGCTTTCACCACTGCCAGAACCACAGCTGCAAGAATCTTCGATGTCGCTGCTTGCCACTGCCACAAGAGCCTGCTGACCCACCAAGGTTGCCTGAACCACTGGTGCCTACTGACCTAGAGCCTCCTAACCCTATGCCTCCTAACCCAGAGAAATCAGATTCAGCTCTGCTCCACACTCCAGGCTGTCCACGAATCAGAGACAAGCTTGTGAATGTTTAGATTTTTTTCCTTAAAGTACAGCTTAACAGTAACAAAAACTGATATAATTAATATTTTTATATTTTTAGAAAATTGTGAATAGATTTTATTAACCAGGTTATATAAACATTTTGAATGTAAGATAACATAGCAGTTTTAAAATAGCAACATTCTGTTTTTACCTCATTTGTGTTTAATATAAACATTTAAAAGGTCACACTTTACAATAAGGTTCATTAGTTAATGTTAATTAATGCATTTACTAACAGGAACAAACAATGAACAATACATTTGCTACTGTATTTGTTCATGTTAGTTAACGTTAGTTAATGAAAATACAGTTGTTCATTGTTAGTTCATGTTAACTCGTGGTGCATTAACTAATGTTGACAAGCATGGACTTGGATGTTAATAATGCATTAGTAAATGTTCAATTATGATTAATAAATGCTGTACATGTGTTGTTCATGATTAGTTCATGTTAGTAAATGCATTAACTAATGAACCTTATTGTAAAGTGTTACCCATTTAAATTGTGGCTCTAATAAAAGTGGCTTTCATCACTGATGTATTTGTGTATTTCCTAAATAGAGAAGAAAAAAAACATTTCTATGCAATTATTTCATTAAGCAAAATGTTTTCTAGGGACCATTTCCAGTTGATTTATGGACATTATGGCTTCTCTAAGTTTATAATGTTATTTACAAGCTGAATGCAGAGATTTTAATGACAGTTTCTTTCATCAATGATCTTTCATCAAACGATATGTTAATAGTAAGATGGCAGCATTTACTGTCTTTTTTTTATTCTGTAGCAAAACTGACAGAATTTAAAAGCTGATTTTTTTATATACGAGCAAAGCACAAAGGTTGCGATTCCTTGTTTATTGTGTTTAATGACCTCACAGAAAAAAACATTATTTAAAAACCCATATCTATAAGAGTGAACAGCTCTCACACACATCTGCATGTTTTCAAGTACACTGTAAAAAATAACGGCCGCTAAATTGCAGAAATTTACCATAAAATAATAGACGTGAAATGACAGAAACTTACCAAAAATATAAATTTAAAAGGGTTGTCCACTATGATATCATATTTTAAACTTTAGTTGATGTGTAATGTAGCTGTGTGAACCTCAACAACAACTCTGAATGTAAAATGCTCAAAGTTCAATGCAAAGGGAGACATTGATTTTGACAGAGTTAGCTTAGCAAAGCCTACAATGAACGAATTATGGGGACTACAAAAAATACTTACGCCCCCTGTGAGATCACAAAAGTTCGTTACTGCGCATCCAAATCGAGCAGGTAAGAGACATGGCCAGAGGCGCTGTAACGTTATAGGAGAGATGACACTAAAAATGCGTCTAAACACTGCTGCTTCCACAGAGCTTCGTCTGTTTCTGTATTTGGGCTTCCAAAGGACACGACACAAAGACAGAAGTGCTTAGTGTTCAATATTAATTATGTTCCAGAAAATTATAAAATACACAGCAAGCATGATTTGACAAAACACATCTCCAGAATCTCACCAAGTTCAGTGCTGGATTCGGCTAAAATCTCCTCAAAATTGATCATGACATGTACAGAGTCTAGCGTTAACGGTAAGCTGTAGCAACGATGTAAACAATGGGAAATGCTGCTTTGCGGGCAAACGATTTAGCTACAAATTCATATTTATCAGTCAAACTGCTGTAAACATACACACACTCCACCAACACTCTTATGTGTGTGCGTGCGTGACTGCACTGATTGTCTTCAGGCAGCTTTTCCATGCGTTTCACATCTCAGATAATGAAGTCACAAAAGATATGTGGATGATTTATATTAGTTACACGTGCATATTCCGGATACACGTGAAAGACGTTGTGTTACGCATTGAGTTAAAAAAATACAGTGCTAGCAGCAGAAAAATAAATCCAGGCTCAAACAGGTAGCGTCCCACATCTTGTGCTTTATTCTTCTGTCACGATATATTACAGAAAATAACTTAATCCAAGCATTAGAGAAAAAGAAAGTCCCACGCACATGCGCTTGTTACAGAAAGTTCACACATTCACACACACACACACACACACACACAAATACACAAACACAGACACAGATGGAGACAACATTCACACCACACATACACGCACACGCAAACGCTATTAAAGGAGCCGCACCCCATTTTCACTCGTTACAGACACTTGTCAGATTTTATTATAGATAGCAGGCAGAAGGTTGACTGAGGTTTACACAGCAGAAAAGCGTGTGCTTTTACGTGCATGACGTGGACCCGATTTGCCAATCGCAGCACATTATAACGATGACCAATCAGAGTCACTTAAGGGCGGGGCTTTTAGAGGAACTAGGAAATATGACAGTCGTTTTCATGTTAGCTGAGTAGCTGTGTATAATCAAAGTGAGATATATGAAAAAATTACGCAATTTCCTTCAGGTAAAACATGAACACACATTGCTTTGCATCTTATAAACACAACCAAGCCTTAAAATTACATTGCGGACCATCCCTTTAAGGAGATTTCTGTAATTAAACGACTGTTATATAACGGTAAAATTCTGTAATTTAACGACCCTGATATAACAGTAAATTTCTGTAATTTAACGGCCATTAGATAATGGTAAATTTCTGTAATTTAATGTACGTTATTCAACAGTAAATTTCTGTAATTTTACGGCCGTTATATAATGGTAAATTTCTGTAATTTAATGTACGTTATTCAACAGTAAATTTCTTTAGTTTAACGTACGTTATTCTATAGTAAACTTTTGCAACTTACTGTTTGTTATTTTATGGTAAATTTCTGTAATTTAACGACCGCTATTCTCTGGTAAATTTCGATAATTTAACGCCTGTTATTCTACTGTAAATTTCTGTATTTTAACATCTGTTATTCTATGGTAAATTTCTGTCATTTAACATCTGTTATTCTATGGTAAATTTCTGCAAGTTAACGTCCATTATTCTACGGTAAATTTTTGGAATTTAATGTCAGTTATTCTACAGCAAATTTCTGTAGTTTAACGTCGGTTATTCCATGGTAAATTTCTGTAAGTAAATGTCCATTATTCTACGGTAAGTTTCTGTAATTTACCGACCATTATTTTACAGTAAATTTCTGTAATTTAATGTCTGTTATTCTACTGTAACCAGGAGGCTGACACAGAGGGATCCATTTGCTGTACGTTATTAAACACAGTTTATTAACAAACATACAGTATGCACTGGTGCATGAAATCACATGAATCACAGGCTTATAGGGTCGATAGGCAGGCAACTGACATTCGTGTATCAGAGTAGGCATGGGTCAGGGGCAGGCAGCGAGATGCAAGATCGGTAAGACAGTCAGGTAATCAAGGCAGGCGACAGGCAAGACAAGGTCGAGGACAATCCGGGTTGGCAACAGGAGATCAGGCAAGGGTAAGTAACGCTCAGTCAGCAGGGCAGAACAAGACTTCGCAATGAAGTGAGAGCGAGAGCTGCTTTTATGTGTGTGTGTGTGTGTGTGTGTGTGTGTGTGTGTGTGTATGTGTGTGTGTGTGCTGGAGTAACAAGAGTCAGGTGCAGTTTAATCAGCTAGCTGAATGGGTTTGTGGGAGATGTAGTGTTCAATAGTCCAGTGAAGAAGACATCTGCTGGCCTGCGAGGGGAATGACTGGGACCAAGTCGGTGAAATCTACTTTGTTATTCTAATTTTAAGTTGGTTTTTTTCGCCACCCCACCACATTTTTTTTGTGTCTGAAATTAAAGTACTTTTAAGTAGCGTTGGAATCCTGTACATTTTATTTTTACCTCAATTTAGAACATTAGAAAACAAATATCCAGCTCCAATGCTCAACATTTTACAGAGGACAGCTTTCACAGTTTGAGAGAAGTGACACAATGGCTCGGTGGCAATCACTGTTGTCTCACAGCAGGATCTGAAATCGATTCCTGACAAGGACAGGATGCCTTTTTGTGTGGTGACTGCATGTTCTTCCTGTGTCAGTGCGGGTTTACGCTGGTGTCCACTCATAGCAAAAAAAAAGGTACACTGTAAAACCCAATAGGTTAAGGTAACTCAAACCATTTGAGGAAATTGATTGCAACAAATCATTTAAGTTCAAAAATGAATCCTAATGAGTACTGTGAACTTAATCCATTTGAGTAAAAGAAGCAATTTGGGGAGAGTAAAACTCAATAAATGAAGAGAACTCAAACCAACTGAGTATTGTAAAACTCATCAAGTTAAGGCAACTCAAACCGTTTGCGGAAACCGATTGCTACAAACCATTTGAGTTAGGAACCTAATCTATGAGTACTGTAAACTTACTCCATTTGAGTTAAAGTGATGAGATATTTAATTAACTAATTACCTTCAATACTGAGTTCAAAACTCTTTTCAATTGAGTAAAATTAACTTTCAGTCAATCTTGAGTTAACTACACTCATTTCATTTGATAAAGTGGACTGTTGGGTTTTACAGTGCAGGTTTTCTTAATTGAAGATGCAGATTTGTCACTTCCCCAACTTGTTTGTAAGACAGACCTGTTCAAAAGAAAAATATTTGCCTTTCTGTGTATGGATTAACTGTAATTGCCATTTCAGCATATATTCATGGTGATAACAGTTAAAATAGTTTTTAAAAATAGCTAGAAAATAGTTCAATAAAAAAGGTAACCTAATCTATGCAAGTGTAATACAAATTTGGGCATGAACCCCACTGTGGTTGGAGGTGTGACATTTCTGGATAACAAGCACCGATCAGCAAATCACAACATATACAGTCAGCAAATCAATCAGAATCCACTGAGGCAGGGTCTTTTTAGAGCCAGGAAATAAGTCAGCTGCTTTGATGCTAATTGAAAAGCAGTGTACAAGATGTGCAAATATGTGAAAAACAATGTTTTTTTTTATTTACAGTGAAGCATCAACACATGTTAATGTGCATCCCATAAACACAATTACTGCTTCAAAAACTTATTAGACGGCTCCTTTAATTAAGTCTAAATGGGAAATAAACCCTTCTCCAATCAACAGTGCAGGAAAAACTGTATATGTATAACCCCACCGGTCCTACAACGCCCAACCCGCTCCAAGCTGGGATTAAACCGGTGACCTTCCACATGGGAGTCGGTTGCTCTACCAAGGAGGCTAAAGACCAGGCCCTTTAGCATCTGTCGCTAGAGCACCTTTAGAGGTCAGAGGAGTGAGGTGTACCTGCACAGCCCCTTACGGCTGGCCTTCACTACACTCACCCCGCTAAACCTCACTCCCATCCAGGTCACGGCACCAATGTAACCCCG